AACCTCCCCCAAACCCCAACCCCTCGCCCAAACCCCAAACCCTCCCGCGAGTCGGCGCGCAAACCCTAAACCCTAAACCCTAAACCCTAAACCCTAAACCCTAGCTCGCCTCGATGGCGCCTCCGCCTCCCACGACGTTGTGAGTCTTTGCTGCTCTTCGAACCACCATAAAAGCATCATTCAAAGACCTTTCTGCTTCTTCCAAAAACTGGGGGGCCCCCCCCCGCAGCAGCAAAGTGGCGGACTGGGCCCCCGGGCATTCGCTCAGCAAGTTGTACCGCTCGCTGCCCACCTGCACCTCCTCAAACCGCCCGCAGCTCCCTGCAGCAGCAGCAGCAGCAGCAGCAGCAGCAGCAGCGGCAGCAGCAGCAGAGGAGCGGGAGAAGCGGCAGCGGGAGCAGCGGCGGAGGAACGCGGGAAGCAGCAGCAGCAGCAGCAGCGGCAGACCAGAGGGAGCAGCAGCAGCGGGAGGAGCAGCAGCAGCAGCAGGAACAGCAGCAGCAGCGGGAGCAGCAGCAGGAACAGCAGCAGCAGCAGCAGCAGGAAAGGAAGAGGCATTATTATTGTTGCTTCTCTTAGGAGGAGTCTGCAGATCTAAACTGAAAAACATTTGCGTCAAGAAATTTGAACTTTGGACGAAAGGCAGATGGCCGCAGCAGCAGCAGCAAGTGCAGCAGCAGCAAGAGCAGCAGCAGCAAGTGCAGCAAGTGCAGCAGCAGCAGCAGCAGCAAGTGCAGCAGCAGCACTAAATCTCTACAAATATTGCCGGCCCGGAGTGCCTGGGGTGAAGCCAAAAATAAGCCGAAGGAAAGCAAAGAAGGGACAAAAATAAATAAAAAAAAGAAAGATGAAAAAAAGACAAAAAGAAACAAAAAAAAGAAAACAAAAAAGACACGAAAGGGCGACATAAAGGAGACAGAAAAGAAGCAAAACGGAGACACAAAGGAGACAAAAAAGCAACAAAAAGGAGACACAAAAGAGACAAAAAAGCAACAAAAAGGAGACAGAAAAGAGACAAAAAGAAAACAAAAAAAGAACAAAAGGCTCCAAAAAGAAACAGAAAAAAATAAAAGTTTCGCAAAAAAAAACCCTCGTTGAGCAGCAAAAGAACAGAAAAAAAACCCGAAAAAAGAGGAGACAAAAGAGGAGAAAAAGGAGACAAATGAGGGGACAAAAAGGGGACAAAAAGGGTCAAAAGGGTACAGTTTTCGTACCCAAAACGTCGGGAGAAAGCCCGTAAACTGTGGACTGGATTTTCGCGCCGGTGGCTTTCGCGGCTCTTTCCAAGTCGGCCTCTTCGACTCTTCCGGCGCAGAAGATGTCGCGGTCTGCGAAGAACTGAGTGGCGAGGTCTCCTGAAAATAAATAAATAAATATATAAATAAATAAATAAATAAATGAATTAAATGGATTTAATTGCATGCAAAGAATTGCTTTTTTTGTTTTTATTAAACTGATTTTCGAGAGCTTGCTTTGCGCGGCGGTGGCGCCGCGGGAGGCCAAAAAGGAGGCGAGGGAGGAGTGTTTGAAGGAGACAAAAGTGGCAAATGAGAAGTGAAAAAAAGACGAAAAAGGAGACAAAAAGAGACAAAAAAAGACCAAAAGGAGACAAAAAAAGAGACAAAAACGGGGAGGAAAAGGGAGATAAAGGGAGACAAAGAGGGAGCGAAAGAGAGGCGAAAAAGGAGACAAAAAACAGACGAAAGAGGCCAAAAAAGCGGAAAAAACAAGGAAAAGAGCAGAAAAAAGATGACAAAAAGGAAACAGAAAGGGACAAAAAAAGAAACAGAGACAAGACCAAAAAGGAGACAAAAGGAGATCACAAAGGACACAAAACGGGACGAAAAAGGAGACAAAAAAGGACGAAAAAGGAGACAAAAAAGGAAGAAAAAGGAGACAAAAAGGGACGAAAAAGGAGACAAAAAAGGGAGAAAAAGGAGACAAAAAAGGACGAAAAAGGAGACAAAAAAGGACGAAAAAGGAGACAAAAAAGGACAAAAAAGGAGACAAAAAAGGAAGAAAAAGGAGACAAAAAGGGACGAAAAAGGAGACAAAAAAGGGAGAAAAAGGAGACAAAAAAGGACGAAAAAGGAGACAAAAAAGCACGAAAAAGGAGACAAAAAAGGACAAAAAAGGAGACAAAAAAGGACGAAAAAGGAGACAAAAAAGGACAAAAAAGGAGAAAAAAGGAGACAAAAAAGGACGAAAAAGGAGACAAAAAGGAGACAAAAAGAAGAAAAAAAGAAGAGAAAAAACAGACCAATGGGCAGTTTGGAGAAGACCACTGTGGCCCCGCTGTCGACAATGGCCTGGAGCTTTTCGTAAATGATGTCCCACTCCGCGTCAACCACAGCTTGGTAATCCTGAAATAATAAATAAATAAATAAATAAATAAATAAATAAATAAATAAATAAATAATAAATAAATAATAAATAATAAATAATAAATAAATAATAAATAATGATTTAATTATTAATTAATTCAAAGCTGCAATTAATTAAAAATTATTTCAGCCCAGCGGCGACCGCAGCGCAGAGTCAGAGAGAAAAGAAAGCAAAAGAGAAGAAACTAAAAAAATTCAAAAGATTAAAAAGATTTAAAAAGATTTAAAAAGATTTAAAAAGATTCAAAGAGATTTAAAAGGATTCAAAAAGACTTAAAAAGATTTAAAAATTGAAAAAGATTGAAAAAGATTCAAAAAGATTCAAAGAGATTTAAAAGGATTCAAAAAGACTTAAAAAGATTTAAAAAGATTGAAAAAGATTGAAAAAGATTGAAAAAGATTCAAAGAGATTTAAAAGGATTCAAAAAGATTTAAAAAGATTCAAAAAGATTAAAAAAGATTAAAAAAGATTTAAAAGGATTCAAAAAGATTAAAAAAGATTAAAAAAGATTAAAAAAGCTTCAAAAAGATTCAAAAAGCTTCAAAAAGAAGAAAACAAAGTGGAGAAAAAAGCACTGCAAGCGCGGGTTTAGCAGCCGGCAAGAGCGCAAACCCTAAATTAGGGTTTGGGACCTGGGGGTTATCGACGCGGACTTCGGCGTTTTCCTTCTCCGCCTTCAGCTCCAGCTCCAAGTTCAGCAGCAGCACCTTCGGCTGCTGCTGCTGCTTCGGCTGCAGCTCGAAGCCCGCGTAAGAAAAAGTCTTTTTGAAAATAATTCCTTTCACCAATTTGCTTTCTCCCAAACTCCCGCCCCCCTCTTTCTTGACTCCCAGCAGTTCCCGGCTGCCCTCGGGGCCCACCAGCTCCACCGCCTCCACCACCAGCTGCAAGGCCACGGAACGCAGCTAGCTGGCTAGCTAGCTGGCTAGCTGGGGAGGTAGCTGGCTCGCTGGCTAGCTGGGGAGGTAGCTGGCAGGCTGGGGAGGTAGCTAGCTAGCTGGGGAGGTAGCTAGCTAGCTGGGGAGGTAGCTAGCTAGCTGGGGAAGTAGCTAGCTAGCTGGGGAGGTAGCTAGCTAGCTGGGGAGGTCCTTCGCTGGGTAGCTAGGAAGCCAGGTGGCTAGCTGGCTAGCTAGCTGGCTAGCTAGCTGGCTAATTGCGCAGCTAGGAAGCTGGGTGGCTAGCTGGGGATCCAAGTAAACAGCTAAGTGGCTACAGAGAGCTAGATGACTAGCTAGCTAGGTGGCTAGCTAGCTAGCTAGCTAGCTAGCTAGCTAGCTAGCTAGCTAGCTAGCTAGGTGGCTAGCTGGCGAGGTGACTGGCTAGCGAGGTGACTGGCTAGCTAGCTAGCTAGCTAGCAGACAGCTGGAACTAAGGAGGAAAATGAACACGCAGCTGCGCTCCAAAGCCAAGCATCAGCAGCAGCAGCAGCAGCAGCAGCAGCAGCAGCAGCAGCAGCAGCTTGCCTCTGCGAAGTAGCTCTTGTGGGCAGAAAGCAGTTTGGAGTTGAGGGCTGTCTCCGCGCAGCGAATCAAAAGCGCCCGGCGATTCCTGCAGCGCAAACAGCTAGCTAGCTGGCTAGCTAGTTAGTCAGCTAGCTAGCTAGCTAGCTAATAAGTGGCTAGCTAGCTAGTCAGCTAGCTAGCTAGCTAGCTAGCTAATAAGTGACTGGCTAGCTAGCTAATAAGTGGGTGGCTGGCTAGCTAGCTACCCAGACAGCTAGCTAGCTAGCTGGTGAACTAGCTAGCTAGCTAGCTAGCTAGCTAGCTAGCTAGCTAGCTAGCTGGTTGGCTGCTTAGCTAGCCAGCTAGCCAGCTAGCTAGCCATTCGAGCGCGCATTCACGGAAGCCTGCCAGTGGCTACATCTCCAGCTAGTCGGCTAGCTAGCTAGCTAGCTAGCTAGCCAGATGGACAGCTAACTAGCTAGCTAGCTAGCTAGCTAGCTAGCTGCTGGCAGCTCACTCTGGGCTATGAGACGCGAGGGAGACTTGGATCTCTTCGATGCGCTGAAGAGCCTGAGGGGAGAGGTAAGGGAAATCATAAAAGCAAATTCACTATTATTAAAACCCTAAACCCTAAACCCTAAACCCTAAACCCTAAACCCTAGAGAAGTAGCTAATTAATTAATTCACCAGCAGCAACTCAACGAGAACAAGACAGTGCGGAAGCAAGAATTTGGGCAAATCCAGCGCAGCTTGAAACCCAGACACACGTAAACCCTAAACCCTAAACCCTAAACCCTAAACCCTAAACCCTAGCTCACGAGGTCCCTGGCGGCTCTGAAACCCTTGACAATGACTTGAGGGGCCATTCCATCTTCAATGAAAGTTTTTGCTTCTTGTAAAAGCTCTCCCGCCAAAACCACCACCGAAGTCGTCCCGTCCCCCACCTGCCCAAACCCTAAACCCTAAACCCTAAACCCTAAACCCTAAACCCTAGATTGGGCTGCGGCCGGCGGCCCGGGGCCCGCCGCGCCCTGAACCACCGAAACCCCAAACCCTAAACCCTAGCAAGCTTTGCTGTGCAAAAGCCTGCGGCGCCAACTCCCCGCCCTTCCATCCCACACCCTAAACCCTAAACCCTAAACCCTAAACCCTAAACCCTAAACCCTAAACCCT